CTTGGAAAACTCATAAATGAATACCCTTCAGCTTCGAGGAGAAGTATAAATAGAAAATTTTCAAAAAGGAATGTTGAAGATAAACTTGTCAAATTGGCAAAACGAACTGTAGTCCTATTTGACATAGTTGGATTATCCTACTTATCTTTAAGAAAATTAACTCCTCGTACTCTTCGAGAACTGTATGGCGAAAAATTCGAAAAATTAATTATGGGAGCAAGGGAGATTGTAGCAGAACAATCATAATCACCTAATTTTATTGAACTCTTGGGAAATTTTAATTTGCCTGTTTCTCAGGAGCTCAATGTAGAAGGAGGAGTTATGTTGCCGGAATTACACTTTGACGCAGATATTTTGGCCGAATCTCTTAATTCCAGAACAATTTATTATTTTTATCTTTATCATATTCTATTTTTATTTTTATTCATTTATTATTAATTTATATTCGTGTTAGGTTCCGTATATTTAATTATTATAATATTAATTAACTTTATTTGATTTTAACATGTATATAAAGAACTCAAATTTGACCTACTGTAAAAGTAACTTTCTAACAAGTTAATTAGTTTTGACTAAAGAAAACTAAATAAATAAAATAATAAAAATAATTGTTATCACCCATTAAAATACGCACTCCCAAATTTAATCGGCGACAGAAGTTTTTATTTGTTCACATGTAAAATTATCATCAACAACACCATCACTATTGCCATCATCATCATATTGATACTCTTCCGCATAGAAATTTTCCATTTTTAATGATAAAATACAAAAATCGTAATTGGTCAGACAATAATATTGGCATATTGTTAGTAGTCGAGTTGACTATTAGTTGTTCAAAAAAAAGTTTAGTCGACTATTTTAGTCGATTCCAACCTCTAATATGTTTGCAAGGATTTAGTATCTGCTAATTTAAAATATAAGGTGCAATTTTTTCACTTTCCTTTTTTAAAACACTTCTGATAGTACTATAATTTTTGGGTTCCATAGTAATGTAAGTAAGTTTCATATTAACTATTTTTATATAGGGATAGTTCTATATATAACAAATGGTAGGTTGTGTTGGTCTTTATAGGACCAGCTGATCTTTCTTAATAAGGAAATTTTGAACAATAAAAATTTATCTTCTAAATTGATGAATTATCTTTTTTTTTGGGAGTTTTTATTATTATGTTTTATTGAAGCCAATTTTCAAAACTAGTGGTGTTACTACTTTACGAAGACATCCGAACAAATACATTCAATTATTGCACCCAAAATACAAAGAACTTTACATCAATATCGTAATGACCCTCATAATTCAATTGACCAGAAAAAACGTGATGAAGCTGTGATGAATTGGATAAATTGTGATTTATAGTCAATTAGCGTAGTAGAGAAAGAAGATCGGTGTACAATTATTGCTGCTTTTTATCCTAGATATAGATTTAATGGTAGAACTACCATATTTTTATTTATTTATATTTTTATTAATAAATTTGGTGGAACAAAAGGAACAAAAATAATTAAATTCGTTGTTATTTGTTGCCAAAGATTTCTAGGTAGTAAACAGATAAATTTGTGAAATAAAATAATTGATCATAAATGTAAGATAATCAAGATTGACCAAAAAGCTACTTCGTAATATGTGATTCACATCAAAATCCTTTAAACAATCTTTAACCAGTTCCAAAGCCGGTCTTTAACCAGTACCAAAGACTCATCTAAAGACCGGACCGGATCAACACAACCCTAACAAATGGGATATTATAAAACTGTTAATTATGATCACATTACAAAAGACTAAATTTTGATCCCTGAAATCCTTGCTAATACCAATGTTCATTTTGTCTGATTTTGTTGTAGCATGCCCCATACAATAGTTTTAGAAAATATATTTAATGTTCCAGAGTTGAAAACTTATCTATATTGTGATACCAATGGGATCATCCTGGACAGATTCATGTGCTGTTCCAGTTCAACAAATATCCATAAATTCTCTGCGAGATATTGTTCCAATGATTGGACCTTTGCATGTCTGTCTCATTGAATAGTCGTGAAACAGTTTTTAATAAATACATTTTTTTATAATTCCCTTTTTTATTAAAAACCATCTATTATAAGTGTTGCACAAAAAATACTTTGTTTTGGTAATTATCTAATAAACTATAATTATCTCTTATCTTTTTCTTTGAGAAATTTCTTCCCGAAAATGACAATGCCACAAATGGCAAGGTTATTTTTTCTGCGGCATGAGAGCTCTTTGCCAGTAAAAAGCTTGTACATATGATTGCAAGTAAGATCAAATGGACATATCTGTCCGTCAAAGGGCAAACACCAATGAAGACAAAGGATCTTGGTTCAAAAAAAATAGACTTCGAAGAGAAGGCTCCCAGTAACCAATTATTATGATGATAATAATTATAATGGAGTCCAGTACTAGCGCACAGAAAAGAGGTGCACTGCAAATTGTGACAAAAGAGGTATTTTCAAGAAGTACTTCAAGGTCAACCAAGTTGACAGTGCGGCAAGTATAATCACCAACAATGACAGATACACAAGGGAGAAGGTTGCGAGGCGGAAGTCAAAAGTTTGGATAATCCAAACTATGTTGGAAGTTCTGAGACCGAGTGATTTTTCACTATTCCTTTTTTACAATGTATTGCTACCAATTAAAAATACAAAGTAGAAAACAAGAAAATTATGAGGTGATAATGTAAATTTTTGATCCCTGAATTTTTATTGTCATTATATCACCGAGCATAAATGTATATATTAGTATATATGTATATCCCTATTTAGTAAAGATTATCAATAAATAAATTTTTACATGTGACTCATTTTTATACATTATTTTAAAAATGACGGTGGAATATAATGAATACCCACAAAACAATGAAAATGATAATGATAACGATAACGATAATAACAAGCAAGGTTCTGAACCAATAATCACAACAATTGACAACAGCAGTAATAATGAAGTAAATGGAAGAACATCAATATTGTCACAAAATCTAATCAAGGAGGAACATATAACAACAAGTCGTCGTCGCTGGATAGTGTTATTAGGCTTTTCACTATTAACGTTTTCTTCAGCTTGTCTCTGGATAACATTTGCACCCTGTCTTTACATTTTCATGCACCATTATTCACAAGCAACACCATCATACATCAATTCATTATCAACAATATATATGATCATGTATCCAATCTTGCTACTGCCATCTCTTAAAATTTTTGCTGTTTGGGATTTACACGGTGGACTCTTGTTTGGGGCCTTTTTAAATTCGCTTGGATCGTTTGTACGTTTTTTGGGATCATTTGGACCTCGTGGATTTTGGGTGTTGTTTTTAGGCCAGACTATAGCAGCCTCAGGACAAGTATTTATATTGGTTTTACCGCCAAAATTGGCTATAACATGGTTTGATCATGGTGAACAAAATTTGGCTGCTTCTATTGGAATTATGGCAAATAATGCAGGAGTGGCTGCTGGGTAAGAATAAAAATAAAAATAATATATCTGGATATATATATATATATATCTAGATAACGAAAGGTAAATAATGTTACGATGAGATAATATATAGTTTCTTAATTTGTTAAAACACTATTCTATTTCTATTTTTATTTCTCTCTTATATTTTTTAGATTTTTGTTGTCTCCATTTATGATTAAAGAGGAAACGGCACAATATGATATTCCAAAATATCTTTTAATACAATGTGGTGTATGTACTTTTATATATCTATTTTTGGTCTTGGTTTTTAGATCTTCACCTTCACATTCATCATCCAACAGGTTTGTTAATTAACGATTATTATTGATTTTATTAATATTTATTTACATATAATTTATTAACACATATAATCGTATACATGATATGATAGTAAGTCGGTTGTATCATTGACAGTGTTTATTTCATATTTTGCAGATAAACCATTTATATTTTTAACAACATCTTTTGGAATTATAATTGGAGCACAATATGCTTTAAGTACTTTATTAGCACAAATGATAATGCCTGTATTTGAGATTTATGATGAGGTATATATATAATAAATCATTCATTCAGAAGGTATTTTAAAATTAAAAAATTAATTTGTTGCACTATTATAATTTAGACAAAAATAGGTATATTAGGATTTTCAATAGTAGTAGCAGGTGTAGTTGGATCGTTTGTTATTGGCATATATCTTGATCATTCATTTGCATACAAACGTTCATGTCATGTTTTATACATTGGTACAATAATTGCCCTTGGTGTATTTAATATTTCTTTGAAAAATGAAATATTAAGCTTAGCATTTTTATCAAGGTAAATATTATTATTTTTTTTTTTGTGATATTTGATAAAAAAAAATTTTTTTATTTTTAGGAAAATTACTAAATTATTATATATATATTTTTTTAAAAAGCATATGTTTTGGAATATTTTCTTTTGGTAAGTTGTTAAACAAAATTAATTAATAAATTATGATTTTTTTTTTTTATCCAAGAATCAACAATGTAAAAAAATTATGTACATAAATATATGCACACAAATCTACCTTTTAGCAATACCTTCTGCAATATTTCGATATGCGACACTTGCCACATCTATGAGAGAAGGTGAGGATGAAATAGCTAGCACAAGCATATTAAATACATCAGCACAAATATGGGGAATATTATTGGTAGCATTGATGGACATTGCAGAGAATAATGATAAAATATTTACAATGGAATTATCAAATTGGTTGTTGTTTACAATTTTAGTGTGTGGTGCAGCTTTATTGTGGGTGATGGATGACAATAGAGTAGCAAGGAAATTAAATGTTGATGATGAATATGTTGAGGTTAATGTTAGTGGTGGCAGTGGTGATGGAAATAATAGAAGTAATATTTGTAGTAATGATAATGATAGAGGAAGTGACGAAGAATTGGAAATTCTTGAAGTTATGCAAGAGGAATGATAATAAATAAATCTTTAAATATAATTCACCAAATCATTTAAAAAAATTTATAATCAAGATAATTAATTATTCCAAATCTTTTGCTAAACTTTGATCTTTAGCAATTATGTTTATTGTATCATTAATTTTTTTTAATAATGATCCTTTAATTTAATCAAAAGGAACAATTAGTAAATAATTTTTTTAATATATACACAATAGAATAATAATAACACTAATATAACAAGTATCTTTTAAAATTAAAAGTTACCAACCGGCATTTTGAACCATTTTTAAATATTCTCTATTTGCTTCTTGTAACTCTTCTTCTAATGATTTAATAATATCAGTCTAAAAAAAAACAAAAAATTAAATGCATATATAATATATTGAAACATAGTATATTTTTAAAAAATATTGATATAGTAATAATATATATTTTATACCTGTTCTTTTTCAGTATATTTTATACCAGGTAAATTTTCTATTAATGTATCAATTTCTTTTGCTTTCTTACAAAGATCTTGAACAATTAATTCTCTATCCTCTAAAATATTAATATTATTAATATGTTAATTTGAAATCATCATCAATTTGTTATTGTTATTGTTATTATTATCAAGCAAGTACCTTTAAGCTTTGGTGTGTCATGGTTTTGTGCTATAATAATTCCAATAAAAGTTGATTGATTGATTAAATAAACAAAATATAATAACAATTTCAAATCATAATTATTGTTACTTACATATTATCACTTACGTTGATTTAAATGAACAATACTGGTATGAAATAATTGAGCCAACTTTATAAAAATTTTATATAAAAATTTTATCAATTCTCAAAATTCTTTGAAAAAATAACTATACAAACTTGATCTATTGCATCTTGTAATTGTGTAAGTCTATCCATATTCGAAGTAGCCTCAAGTACAGATTGTTGTTCTAAGGGTAAAGAGTTTTGCATGCCCTACAAAAAGTTTAGATACTTAATTTCTATTTTTTTTTTTAATATAAAACGTACTTGAATTATTCAAAACATTAACAAAAATAGGGCATACTGCAAACCAAAGTGAAGATTGCTAATCCCATTCGAAGCTGTCGATCTCTAGGAACCAGCTAACCATGACCCAATTTAGAACCCCGGAAACTACATTGATAGGTTACCCTAAAATTTTCAATATCTTATTGGCTAATTGCAAGGATCCCTAACATAAATAGACAGCAGCAGCACCACGTGAGTATATAGATCCTTACTCTTAATAACAAGATCATCCAACCTTCATTATTATATATATTACCGTTAAACTTGATTCCATTCCATTTAGAGATAGAATGAAAACAGATATAAGGATGTGTATATACGCATTAGAGTGAGAGGAAGATCCCAAAGAACATATGGATATGACAGTACGTGAGAGGTCAGTCGGAGAAAGAAATTATCCCGTCGTGGTAACCTCGTGGCTTGATACTGACAATCAATGGAAAAAACAATTATCTAAAAACAATGGACATATTAGAAGGCGCAAGAAATCATATCTATCATACTACAGATAATAAATTTTTAACAAATCTTTAATATATAGGAGGATTTTTGCATCCTTCTAAAAGAGAAATTATAAAAATTTAGATTGAAATTAAATCAGATTGTGCCCTCTCTCATGTTTATACCGAATTTATCTTTTGTTTTTCGTACCATGACATGATTTGCACAATACCCTGTACAAGATAATGTAAGTTTATTGCAGATTCTACAAGGAGCTTTTTTCAAAATTTTTTCATATGAATTCCAATGTTTAGAACAACCTGATAAACGGGTACAAATATTCCCACAAATTGAACCATCCTTTTTAATATATTGACAAATTACACGATCCATAAGAATTTTGATATATGGATGATATAAAAGTCTTTCACTTTTAACATGTATTATTCTAATTATAGAAATGCGATTGATTATCCAAAAAATACAATAAACGTTTCAAACAATTTTAGTAGAAACATATCCCTATTTATACTGAATATATTAGGCATCAACAGTGTTCAAAAAAAAAACAAAAATTTATAATTCAAAAACAATTGTATGATTGCAATTGATGGTTCAGCATATAATAAATTGATACATGATGGGCACATACATTGGAAAGAAGAAAAACTTTTAATCCCGCCAATTCACGAAAAACAAATATTGGGAAAATACCTTTCTTTTGTATCTAATAAGATTTGGAAATTACATATAATCCAGAAAAAAGTTTACTTATGTTGATTAACGGAAAAAAAAAATTTATTACAAATTTTACTTGAAGTATATAATAACTAAAGACAAATTACCACGGGATAATATAAAACAATACCTCTGAAAAAAACTCATTAAGAATTCAATCGCACTTTCCTGAAACAATTTATTGACAGGCTCAAAGATCTCTTTTAGAACTTGCATGTAATCATCCTCGTCTGTATATTTTAGAACAAACTCCGAAGATGGAGTAAGATCCATAATTTTATTCCGATTTAATTCATTGATGGGATTCGTTGCAATATTTTTGAAAAAAATCCACTAAATTTTTCATTTTTTCTGAACTATGTAATTCGTTTAAGAGATTTTTAACCTGACCGTGATCGTTATCATTCTGTAAAACTCATTTAATTGTTTATATATGTACACAAAGGATTGTATAAAACTATATACCTACCGAATCATTCATCTTTCCTTCATCACCTGTCTCATCAATTTTATAAAATTTTGGTTTTTCTTGCTCAATACAATGATCATTTGGTTCTATAAGTGGAAGACACACATTGTTAATTACCTTTAAAAAATTGTATATTAATAATATTAAACACCTTACCCGATTTTTATCATTTTCACTTAAAAGTTCCATTTGTTTCGATAGTTCATTCTCCTGATATGAAGCAGAAGTGCTCATCACTTTTAAGGTACTTAATTGTATGTCGATATTTGTATTATACTGTTTAATAATATTAGATTGAAACATATCCATCAATAATTGATACCTGCTGTCGTTTTAACATTTGCATTTGAATCCTTAAATAAAAAAAATGAATTATTTGTTAACTTCGCTTTGTTTATAATTTTAAAGTTGGTGCTTGTCATACATTATACCGAGGACGCGACCTAACTCCAGGAGTTAACAGGGGCGCTACCTGCTCCCAGTGGTATGAATGCATAACCAACACTCTGCATTGCACCGAGGAACGCTACATAACTCCGGGAGTTAACAGGGACGTTACCTGCGCCCAGTGGTAGAAATACAGACTAGCAGGAATTGCTAGCAACTAATTTTTTTTCAAAATAATTAAAAATAATTACTGACCATCCTAATAAGAGCAGATGAAGCTTCACGTCTCTCATCAATCTTATCTTTTTCGAGATCTCTCAGATGGTCATTAAAACGCTTCTTCTACGTCGATTTCAATGTGCTTATTTTAGCGCGGTTACTGAAATAAGGCTCTATGGCCTCGAGATACCCAGAATATGGTCAATCATTCGTAGGAGTTAACGTAAAGTATTTCTCCCTGCAATAAATGATAGCTTGTATTGTGACGATGACATTATTAAGCGTGAAAGTAAAAAAAAAACAGCAGATCTTTTATACACCTAAAAGAAGAACTCCAATTCGCCATAATAATAATAATAACGTAAATTATATCAAAAGAAATTCACAGCCTACAGGAAAAAAAAATGCTGGTGTTAATTCACTCCCTATAAGAGAAAATGCAAATATTGCTAATGTTGTTAGTTCATTATCTACCGAAGAAGAAGAATCAACACTCGAGACTTTTGTTGAAATAACTGATCTAGAAAGTCGCGATGTGGCATTGAAAAGAAAGGAATTGTCAGAAGAATATTTATATAGATTTTATGTACAAAAAATTTGCTGATGTTCTTAAAAGCGACCTGACAAGTAATGGCAAATACACAATCCAAAATTGACTTACTAGAAGATCAGAATTCTAAACTTATAGTCGAGATTACTGAACTGAAAAGGGAGAAAGCCGAACGATTGGCTAAGGAAGCAGGACTTGTGACTAGAATAATAGAATTAGCCGAGAAAGCAAAATTAAGAGATACTGGGCTCAATACCAGAATCATGGATCAGTAAAAGAAAATGAAGAGTGATTTGCAAAATTCATAGTTTGTATCTTTGCCGTGTATTTTTGGAGGAAAGAATCATTTAGAACAACCAAACCTGGAACCTCTTCTAGAAGTTGGCTGGAATAGTGGTTCAACAGGTAAGTTGAAATGATTCAGGTATGGTCTTTTTTATTTGGTAATTTAGGTATGATTTTTATTATATTTAAATTATTCAGATACATGTATTAAATTTTAAAATCTTAATATTAATAAATTATTTATATATGATATATTTATTGATAAGTACATCACTTCAATTTGTTAATGCTATAAAAAAATGAAACATCGATTTGAAAAGGTAAGAAACAAACAATACTGCAGTTGTGTATGTATGACAGTGATTATTAAAAATTCCATTTATTTTTTTTTGTCAAAAAATCATTATTTTTTATTTAGTGTGCATATTTGACATCTGAATTTCAAAAAAAAAAAAAAATCTCAAAGATGTTATTATATAATATCATTACTCAAGACATTTAAAATAAATAAATAATTTAATACATAAAAAGTGACAGGATTTAATTTATTCAGGTAAGTTATCTGGTATAGCTAAATCAATTTGTTTAGAATCTACAAAGTATTTATCACAAGAATGGATATTAATAAATATTGTTAATGTTAATAAAAATGAAAATAGTCAATGATTGAATATTAATAATTACCATTATTATTACCAGTAATTGTTACTTTATTGGAATTCACAGGTTGGGGGAGGTTTGTAAAATTTAATAATCTGCTAGTATAAACAGCATTTGGATGAATTGCTGCAGTAATTGTTGAAGGATCAAATTTTATTTCATCCATTTCCTTAAACCCTTTTCTTATTGATTTTAATTCATCCCACTTTTCTTTTGAATAATGTTCAAGAGTATTATTTATTGTATAGTCATCAAGTGAATCACTCCAAATTCCAATAATCTTACAAATTTCTTCAGCATTTGGACGTTTATCTGGATTAGCATCCATGCATCTGTAAGCTAATTCAATATAGAATTTTGGTGTGTTATTTGAGAATCCAGGTCTTACACCTTCACACACTTTTATTGCAAGACCCACATTATGTGCCAAATTAATAAATGGATGTTGACCAGTTGATACTACAGACATCAGAACTCCAAAACTGTATACATCTGATGCCATTGTATATGGTTTCTCTTTTAAAACTTCTGGTGCAATATATGGTAATACTCCACATATATCATTTTTGTTCGATAATGATGTTTGACTAGCTGGGAATGATAATCCTAAATCTGCAATCAATGAACTCATATTTTCTTGGAGAATATTACCACTATGAAGATCATGATGAATAATTCCTTTTTCATGAAGATCTTTTAAACCACTAATAATATAATAAAGAATTCTAAATTTGTCTTTCCATTTTAAATTTTTAAAATCTTTTGTTAAATAATTTTGAAGACTTCCACCTTCCATATACGTCATTACAAATATATATTCTTTTGTAATTGGATCTTGTGTTAATCCATAAATATGAATTATTTTTATTTTATTATGAAACTTCATATAATTTTTGAACTAAATAATAAATAAAATATTTAATTATAACAACAATAATAATATTTAAGAAATCTGAAAATAAATAGAAAAATAAAATAATTTACCTCATTAAGAAATTCATCAGAAATATCCTGTGAATTATGTAGTTTTTTTAATGCCACAGGCATATCTTTGCTAGTTCTTTTATTTCTATCAGTATATTTATTACCATTTAACCAAGTAGCTTTGGATATAGTTGCAAACCCACCTTCACCCATCTTTTCAATATTTGCTAAATCATTATAAGGAATCCATTGAAGATAATTCCAATTACCATACTTGGTTGCTTTAAGCTGTGTACTTTTAATCAACTCATCTAATGTTTCATTGCCACTGGTCCATCCTTCAGTTAATAATTTTGGATTGCATGATTGACACCATGCCCATTGAGTGTTATATCTATTGCATGTTGGACATTCCCCAAATAATATTATTCTTTTATCAGAATATTCATCATTTTGAAGACTTCCATCTTCCATGTAATGCATTACAGAGATATATTCTTTTGTGATTGGATCTTGTGTTAATCCATAAAACTTTGTATAATTTTCAAGCTAAAATAACAAAATAAAATATTTAATTACAACAATGATAATCAATAATATTTAAAAATAAACAAAGAAATAAAATAATTCACCTCATTAAGAAATTCATCAGAAATATTCTGTAAATTATGTAGATTTTTTAATGTCACAGGCATATCCTTGCTAATTCTTTCGTTATCATAATTTGTACTTTTATAACCATTTAACCAAGTGGCTTTGGATATGGTTGCAAACCCACCTTCACCTATCTTTTCAATATTTGTTAAATCATTATAAGGAATCCATTGA